AACAACCCGTGGAATCCGCAACAATAGGAAAACTAGCTTCACACTTTGATAATAATCGTTTTTAGTGGTAGTAAGGGCAGCGAAATGAAATATTTACGGAGACACAACAATCCCCATGGTAATACCTCCAATTGTTGGCCATAATAGTCAGGGAGATACATCGAGAAGAATCTAACAGTTTTTGTAAACATACCCTCTGCGTTGTCTGTCTCTCTTATTGTCAATAATACACGAAGGCCATCCCATTTCAGGAATATATGGAATGGCTTTGGAGACTTGAAGTATGTAAACCACCTTTCTTCAACAAGCCATGGCACTTCTCAAATGAGAGAGAGAGAGAGAGAGAGAGAGAGGGGGAGGGAGAGCGGGTGGGGGGTACACAAATAAAACACGTCGGCGAAGTAGTGTTCGACCACTTTTAGGAAAGAGAGAGAGAGAGAGAGAGAGAGAGAGAGAGCGGGTTTAACGTCCTACTGTTTGCCCGGCTGAGCTAATGTCATACAGTGTGCTATGAAAGAATTTTTTTCCCGGACAGCTGCGCTACGGCCTACTCTTATATCGAATTCCAACTGCCAAGGCATCTTTTACGTGCACTCCGATGTGTACACAGGAATCCGGTTTGTCGTCCCATCCGAACACTAGACAGCTGTCCTTATCAGGCACTCCGTCCGGCACCACTGACAAGGGGTTACCATGCCAGAAAATCTCGATGAACCGTCTGGGTCAACTCGGGGAGCGAACCCGCGACTTCCAGGTTAGCGAGAGAGGATGTGGGTATTTAGCGTCCACCAGACACAAACTAGGTAGTGTCGGGACTAACATACAAATTTATTTCTGTATTTCCCTTGTGCGTAGTTTTCTTTAGAAGCGGGGAGGAAACAGGTGGGCCCAGAGAAAATCAACGACGAAGTACAGGCGATTCTACTCCTTGTCACGTACAAGCCAGATTTCGAAAACCCGCCACTTAATGTCAGCTTATTTGCTAATGTCACGTGTAATAAACACTCAACAGTGATCAGATTTTATATATTTGGTGGGGATCACGTGGCTAGGTGGGTAAGACGCTGGCTCGCTAGCCTGGAGTTGGGGTGTTCGATCCCTGCATTGGCCGATAAAGTTCATCCAGATTTTCCGGCGTGGTTCCTGACAGGACGGAGGGCCTGACAAGGACAACTGTCTAGTCCTTCGGATGAGACGAAAAACCGAGGTCCCGTGTATACATTAGAATGCACGTAAACGATCCCTTAGCAGTTGGAATTCGATATAAGAGTAGGCGATAGTGCCGCTGCCCGGGCAAAATTTCCCCCATAGCACACTGTATGGCGTATGACCGTCTTCATTAGCCCAGCATAGGAGCAGAACAGTAGGACGTTAAACCCCATTTTATTTCATTTCATTTTATATCTTAGGTTCTGAAAATTGAGCTGATTTGTCTAACTTCTGATTAACATACAGACACATTGTGATGCGTGTTTTTGTATTTCCTTCCCGTTATTTATAAATACCCTGTTTAAGTAAAACAGATTATCAAGCAGGTATAATGCCTACAATTTAAACCCTATCTTCCTTCCGGTTTCCTGCCGTCAATAATACCAACATTTAAATTCCATGGGTTAACTAGTTTTGTTTTTTTTTTCATCTATAGTTTAATAGCATGTTAAAGTACCTATGTCTCTAACTCAAAATCATCCAAAGTCTTCGACATTGAAATCAATTTAAATCAACATTGATGTTGTTATCTTACCTGGAAACGGTGGGCTTCTGATATCCAATATTTAAGACAAAATAAACATTTTACCATTGGTACACGAATCGTGTACCATAATGCGTTTCAGCGCCATTTGTAACAAGGGACAAGAATAACGAGGCTAGACATATTCCATAAGTCCTGTCAAACTTTGACGCAATATTCTTATCTGGAGAGCATGCACAATAAATACTATCTGTGTAGACTGGAATAACCAGAAGCTAGGGATTGCCATTCGATTGAGATGTCTGTCGTATTTCTGTAAAAACAGAAACGACTGAATGCAAATGTAAATCAGTTTATATACTTTTAAATTACATTCTTATATGCGTTGCGACCGATTTGTGTCCATTTCTAGATCCCAAATATTAGAGATTTAGCTCCTTTAACTTTAATGGGATGAATAGAATGTTTGTTTTGTTTGATTCCACGAATTGTGTGAATATTTTGTTGACTATTAATGGGAAGGGCAGGTTAGGTTTTTATCACTAGAATTCTTACTAATAGTATTTCCTCTTTCGATTGGGTAGTCGAGTAATATAACTTATTATTATTATTATTATTATTATTATGGATTTATATAGCGCCACTTCCACAATACTGTGCTCCAGTACGCTTCACAATATAGATATAAAAGCAAATATGAAAATAGAAAAATATAAATACAAAAAGGATATACAGGTAAGGTACAACATGCAATAGGAAAGGCACGTACATTTAAAATTATTAAAACATCATCATGTAGACATGTGTATAGAAATGAAATGGGGTTTAACATCCTACTGTTCTGCTCCTATATTGGGCTAATGAAGACGGGCATACGCCATACAGTGTACTATGAGGGAAATTTTGCCCAGACAGCGGCGCTACGGCCTACTCTTATATCGAATTCTAACTGCCAAGGGATCTTTTACGTCCACGCCAATATGTACACGGGACCTCGGCTTTTCGTCCCATCCGAACGACTAGACAGCTGTCCTTGTCAGGCCCTCCGCCCTGCATCACTGACAAGGGGAAACCACGCCGGAAAATCTGGATGAACTTTCTCGGCCAATGCAGCATGTGTATAGAATATAAAGTAAGTTAATTAGTAAAACACAGGGCCCTTATTCACGAAAACTGAAACTAAGTTACAACCGAAATTTTAAGAAATACTGCAACTTCATTGGATATATGCAAATTGATTTTACTGGTCAGCCAATCGAATTGCAGTATTTCTTAAAATTTCGATTGTATCTTAGTTTAAGTTTTCGTTAATTTATAATGTAACATCGTTTGGTGTAAATACAATAAAATTAACGCTTGTACTTTAGATCATAAGGTTTGTCATTGACGTGGTATCGATCCCATACTTGTACGTGACTAACCTCTTTGGTTTCCTCCGGATCATGCCGTATGACCAAATTTGTGTTGAGTGGTCGTTAAGGGGAAACACCACCCCGGAATATCGAGAGGAGTTATCTTGGTCAACCCAAGGATTGAACCGGGGAGAGAGAGAGAGAAAAAAAATGGGGTTTAACGTCCACTCGACACAAACTAGGTCATTTCGGGACTAACATAGGGTTCAATTTCAGCAGTGGGAGGAAACCGGAGGGCCCGGAGAAAACCCGCGAGGTCGGACAGGCGACCCTACTCCTTGTCACGTACAACCGGGGAATCGAAACCACGCCATTTAACTCAATGACAGACCTAATGATACAGGGCGCACGCGCTAACCATTCAACCATCCACAACCTCCCCCCCCCCCCCCGAATGAACCCGGGACCTCCAAGTTAGCGAGCAAGCGCCTTCATCACTGAGTCACCGTTACCCCTAGTATAACTTTGATATAAGATATATTTATATATTTCATATGACATAAGACTCCTTTCATTATCAGAACCTTGCTATCATCCCTTGATATCAACCTTACTCACGAAAGGCATGTACTTTCAACCTTCATTGTCGACTGGTTACCATGAAAACCCAAGTTCAACACAAACCTTTTCTAAGACACATGTAAGGTAAAGATTGACGCGGGGGTGTTAATTAGTCGATGTAGGTGGGGTTTTATCACCTGTTCATGTCACTGATTCACTGCGATCTAACTTCCACCAGCATCCAACTAGATACCTATATTAGACGCCATTAGCAAATTTCTCGGGTGTAACTTTCTCAGCCATATTGAGTTTAAGCGAGCGATTCAACTTTGATATTTGTTTATTTACCTAAACGTATCATCTTGTTTCCTGTGTTCTCTTGTCGAGGAAAAGGTTTGGGGCTTATTACTAAGACATTGTCATACAATTCCGTTGCTGATACCTTCTACCCCACCTCCCAGTGAGAGAGAGAGAGGAGGGAGGGGGGGGGGCATTTCGGGACTAACATATCGTTTAATTTTATTTCAATATTTCGCTTGCGCGTAGAGGTTTTATAGCTGCAGGGGGAACTGGCGGACCCGTAAAAAACTCACGAGGTTGGACAGGCGACCCTACTATTTGTCACGTACAAGTGGAGAATCGAAGCTACGCCACTTGTCTCATTGGCAGACCTTATGACCTAACGCACCCGTGTTAAACCAGTCGGCCACCTAATTCCCCGGACTTTTTTTGATGACGCAACACCACACAAAATTAAAGCTTAAAAATTAAAATTCTAAAAAGGCCTCCCACTGATAAAATTGTAACACGTTTAAGAATCCAAATGATCCAGTTTGTGTCACTTTCGACAATACCGTGAATTTAATCAAATTACAATATGAAATAAAATGTACTGCACCGAAGTGTGCTATGAAGGAAATTTAGCCCGGACAGCGACGCTACGGCCTACTCTTACATTGAATTCCAACTACCATGGGATCGTTTACATGCACGCCAATGTGTACACGGGACCTCGGTGTTTCGTCCCATCTAAACGACTAGACAGCTGTCATTGTCCGGCACTGACAAGGGGAAACCACGCCGGAAAATACCAATGACCTTTCTCGGCCAAATTATAAAAAAAGTAAGAGAGATTAGTTTTGACAATTAATTTCAAAACCAACGAAATAAAATCTAACATAATGTTAGTCCCGAAATGACTTAGTTTGTGTTGAGTGGACGTTAAACCCCATCTCTCTCTCTCTCTCTCTCTCTCTCTCTCTCTCTCAACAAGCAAGCTCTCTTTATCGATTACCTGAACAAGTCGCCCAAACTTTCACCTGACGAGTAAAGAAAGTGAAATCAGGAGAGAGATGAATACGTCACGTTAAGGCTGTTTACTCGGGGGCGATAGCTGGAAGAAAATAAAACCCAAGTCGCGATTCAACTGAGGATTAGTCCAACTGAAACAGTCAAAGCAACAAGACACACGCACAGAATGTTAAATAGCAACAATATTTAGACCACTGAGGGATAGTTTAAAATCGTCTTCAAGATTGGACTACGAAAAACGAAACTCGTTTCTGTTTCTAATCAAAACCCGTACAAATTAAAAGGAATAATTTATTAAGGATATTAAAACGGGGTCTATTGATTAACATTGATAGAATGGCTAAAACTGGATATAAAGTCTTTTATTTACTGGCTTTGTTAATACAGGTAAGTCAAAACTTTAATTTATTTATATCTGTACTGATTCTCATCAACTTCAGACGCTGTTAGGGCAAAATTCTCCCCATATTTCACACTGCATAGTAGGATGTTCAACTCCATTTCATTGTATTTATATTATTTTTCATCAACGTCAGCCGCTGTTCGGGCAAAATTCCCCTCATATCACATTGCATAGCGTATGCTCGTCTTGTGGTCGAATAGTAGGACGTTAAACCCCATTTCATTTTATTTATATTATTTTTCATCAACGTTAGCCGCTGTTTGGGTAAAATTCCCCTCATATCACATTGCATAGCGTATGTCCGTCTTTGTGTAGAATAGTGGGACGTTAAACCCCATTTCATTTCATTTATATTATTTCTCTTCAACTTCTTTCAGTTTTATTTATTTAAATGTGGTTTGCATTCTTTTCTTAAGAGTTATTTGAAAATTATCTAAGTTTTGTTATTTAAGTAACGCGCATATCATTTAATCTTGTGTATCTAACACCAGTTTAATATCAAATCTTTGTTTAAAAATTTGTAAAAATCATTTAAAATCAACCAAAATCATCTAATTTGTGCTTGTGTCCAGTTGAAAGCTGACAGATTAATTTTGATAATGAGTGTCCCATTTACAACTGCTCATAAATTAATCATTATACATCAATAATCAATTGGTTTGTTTATTTTTAAACAATGATCGAGAAATTAAATGCCCGAGACTCATTATCAAAACTAGATGATTTTTGGGTGATTTTAAATGATTTTTTACGAAGTTTTAAACATAGATTTGAAATTAGGTGAATGTGAAAAAAATTAGTGCTAGATGATTTTAGAAGATATTTTGGTGATTTTAAACGATTTTTTGGTGATTTTAAATTATTTTTTTACGAATTTTTAAACCATAGATTTGATATAAAAACGAACGTGAATGAAATTAGTGCTAGATACACAAGATTAACTGATACCCAGGTTACAGTGCTACATGTATATGTTATAGTAACAATTATGTATTACCCACTGTTTCTCTTGAACTTCTAGCATCTTGATTTATATCCTGGTTTTTTTTTATCCCTATAGTGATTTCAAAATAATAACCATATAAGTTTTGTTATTTCAAATTTGTTATACTAATGATATAGAAATTTCAAAACCACAAAGAAATCTCAAATAGATTTTTTTTTTATTAAATACAAAAGGACTAATTAATGTTGACGCGACAGACAGAAAATGCAATCCCTGGTCAATGACAGTCTGAGAAATATATCTCGAATTTAAACTGTCCGACCCCTAGATTTATTCCCATCAGAAATACTAGCAAGTCCGTCGGAGGGAGCTGAAACGGGTTCCTGTGACAATTTTTAAATTAATGAACGCATATTTGCAAATTATTGGAGGAACTAACGCCACCGAGACCAGACATACCCACGGAATTTACTACTGCTGAGTTCTACCAAGTGGAGACCGATGTATAGAATTCTCAAAGATCTTCATATCGGGATGTGAACGTTGTGGGTACTAGTTTGTAACTCACCTATTAAGATACAATGTTTTGGCGAAATGTTTTGGTTTGTGTTCTCGTCACGTCAATGGTGAAAATATTAATTACATGTAGTATTTTCTTAAAACTGTTAAGTTTTGGCAACAAGAAGCTGAGAAAAACTTGCAAGTACAAAATATTTTAGGGCCGTGTGTCCAAGAATTATTTAGTTTGAAATGAATGGATTTTAACGTCCTACTTGTCTGCATCAACCGGACATCATGGAATTCCAAGTGACAGGGTTTCTTTTACGTTTTCGGCAATGGGTTCACGGTTGAACATCGGATTTTCGTCCCATCCGAACCTCTAAACGCCCTTGTTTCACTTGCCAGCTCCACCGCCCTGTTCTACGCGTTGGGGGAGTGGGATGGCCGAATGGTTAGCGCGTGCGCGTTGTATCATAAGGTCTGTCATTGAATCAACTAGCGTGATTTCGATTTCCCGGTTGTACGTGACAAATAGTAAGGGCGCCTGTCCAACCTCGTTGGTTTTCTCCGGGTTCTCCAGTGTCCTCCCACTGCTAAAGACCCGTAAGCGCAAGCGAATTTTTGAAATATAATTGAACCATATCATAATCAAGAAACCACCTAGTTTATATCGAGTATACGTTTACCCCCCCCCCTCTCTCTCTCTCTCTCTCCCTCTCTCTCTCTCTCTCCCCCACTCTCTCCTCTCTCTCTCTCTCTCTCTCTCTCGCTCTCTCTCTTTACGCGTGTTGCCCCCTCCCCACCCATCTTGTATTTAGTGCAGTCTGACTCTGACTAGAGATATAAGTACAGAGAGAATAAGGTTTACCTGTGTCTAAATACCGACCTAGGTAAGCATATAAGATCAACAGGTATTTATCTATTTCTCCACGTATTATAGACATAGTTCAGTATTCTATATCGATAGGGAAACAATTGGCAAGTTTCCGAATTTTTTCTTTGTAACTAATGATCGAACCAAACAAATAGCCCCTCGTTTTTCTTGAAGTTATAAAATATCCTTTCAGCTTTTAAACAACCCAAGTTTTCGGGTATTTCCTGGTGTTTCTAGTTCCCGTTGTTTGTTGCCAATACGTTTTCCCGTGTCAACTGTAAATATTTGACACTAAAAACAATGTCAAATTCAGGAAGGTATCTATTCATTTTTGTCTGGAAATAATCCCGAACCGCCAATGTATATTTTTGTAATTTGGGAAGGTTGGATATTGGACAATAAATAATACGTGCAGATGATATTCGTAACCAGGATTTCCGTCTTGTTGAAATAAAAGCTGTTACACCACAGACAGAATGAACCAATATATACATTGTCTTATCAATTGATACCGCCTGGATAAGCAAATATAAACAAGTAATACAAAAACATCCAGACATTTGAAAATCGAAATCAGAGTACTGTCGCTGCCCGGACAAAGTTTCCCTCATTGAACATTGCATGGTGTACGTTCTTCTTCATTAGCCCAGTTGGTGCAAAAAAGAAGGACATTGAAGAAACCATGTTTCATTTCATTTTTTTTTTTACTTTCAAGGAAATATTCTAAAAGAACAATGATCAATCTGATTTAAACACAGATCCTATTTCGTTTCGTTTTTTATAATTCAAAATTTCGTTTTACTTGTCTTTACTACACTAGGATCTGGGAGAGTCGTTATATAACCCGCGTTCTGGATGATGTGAGGGATTAGCCGGCGAGTTTTTGGCGTGCGAGGCACAGAACTGTGGGTAACCGACTAGAAACATCAACGCTGATTGGTCAATCAAATGTCTGACGTCATAGGATCAAAAGCCGCTCGTATGACCTATGACGCGACCTTCCACTACAACTGGTCAGATCTCCATGTAGTAGAGGCCATCGAAAGTATAAAAACGGAATGAAATATAGATCTGTATTTTTTAATCGGATTAATGAGATTTGCAGATAATTTTGAAAGTTTTTCTTTTCTCTTTGGTACAGAAACAAACAAATAAAGGTCGGCCTGTTCTTTCTTAGGATCATTTTTTTTTTTTTAAATTTCACAACATTTAACCCGTTTTAGATAAATGGACTATTTCTAGAACACCTTATATCACCTTTTGTATAGTAAATACCAGCATCATGATGGGGCGAATAATGTCACAAGGAAGATGGTATTTTGAGAGATTTTTTAGAGATTTTCTTTTCTCTTTGGAATAGAAACAACCAAATAAAAGTCTTCCTTTTCTTTCTTGAGATACTTTTTTTTATTTCACAACATTTAACTCGTTCCACCCGCGAGACATATATACCTTTGATTACCCAGAATTTACCTGTTAATTATATGTTATTTATCTACCTGCCTTAAAATTCTCTTCAGGTGTTCAGCTACTTAATTACACCTTTAGATCAACATCACCACCAAACACGACCGTTACCTCCGTATTTATTTGTAGAAAAAAAAACTTCCTTGGATCACGATTTGATTCCGATCACTGCGCAGTGTCATTACATACATATACACATCTGTGAATTTCAAATAGTGTGCGTTATAGTGATAATAACCAGGAATTAGTTAGGGTTTAACGTCCTAGTTTTCTGTACCAACCGGGATAATTAAAACGGGCATGCGTACGCCACACGATGTGCCACGGTCTAATCTTATTTCAAAAAAAGACGCTAACCCCATTTCATTTCATTTCATATTGTTTACCCTGAAATGAAATAGGGTTCAACGGCCTACTTGTGGCTACCATCCTCGGATTTCGTCCCATCCGAACGACTAGACGATGTTTTTTACCAGGCCAAATGACGTAGGAACCACCTGTTTAGCGAACTCGAACCTTATATCCTAATTCCTCGAAGCAAGATTATATCGGCCTAGTTTTTGGCCCTCAATCATTTTCTAAAATACTGTGTATGATAAGGATGCCTGTAAAAACAATAAGGAAAATGAAGATAAAGCAACTCTAAATACAAGTTAAGAAAATAAATAAATTTACGGGCCAGTAACCGGGGTTAGAGTCCATGTACGTTATATGAACAGATTCTAAAACCGATCCGAAAATTCCATTTAGAAAACGGTGATCTAAAGCTAGGGTAGGGCCTTATGTATAGATCTAAGGCTCTTGGTTACGGTTAGGTCATCCATGCTTTAAAAGGATTTATGAGGTAATCGTAATGCATAAAAAAAAGTATTTATGATTTATTTGTCCATGAATACTGTATTTCCGATGTATCCCTTGTCCATGCATACTGTATTTACGAGGTAATCGTAATTCATCGATAAAGTATTTACGATATAATCGTCATTTATAAATATTGTATATACGAGGTAATCGTAAGTCATAAATACGATATTTACCAGGTGATCTTCATTTATCAATACAGTATTTTAGAAGTAATCTGTACCAAATCTATGGAATTCAGTACCCTTGACCATACAGAATTCTTAATCTCTTGTCTGTTTCAAGAAACAGTTAAAGACTCATCTTTATTCGACTGCATATTAACATTAACTGTG